AGGGAGAGAAGATGCAGTAGAGAGACACTGCACTGGGGTCTGGAGAGAGAGTTTGAAGCACGGGAATGCATGCATGGCATGCTTGAGGACTCAAGTTTGACACTAGTTCTGAATGGCACCCTAGGCACCTCTGGACATGACTATGGTGGCCCCGAGAACTACCAAGCTGGAATAGCTTTACATCACTGAGCCCAAATACCAAAAAGTTGAGTCCAAGCCAGAAACTGTTATGCCCTTACCACACAAAGTGGTCCCCAACATTGTCAACAAAGCGTCCCCCACCAAATAAACAATAAACTACCACACGGGCTGGAGTGATAACACAGCAGTTAGGGTGTTTGCCTTGCATGCGGCCGGCCCGGGTTCGATTCCTTCGTTCCTTTCAGAGAGCCTGGCAAGCTCCCAAGAGTATCCCGCCCGCATGGCAGAGTCTGGCAAGCTCCCTGTGGCCTATTCAATATTTTGATGACCTCACCATGTGATTCTAATGTAAGTCTTGGTTCAAAACTATTGGCGCTGTACTCTGGGAATACAAAATGCATTAAGACTTATGCAAAACAGTAGCAGCAAGTCTCACAATGGAGATGTTACTGGTGCCCGCTCGAGCAAATCAATGAACTCAATGGAAGGACAGTGCTACAGTGCTGCTACATGGGTGTGCTACTAGTTTTAAAAATGTAGCCACAATTAGCCAACCACTATGAAAACAGGTAAATTTCAAATTGTGTTAACTTTCCTATTTAAATCAAAACTTGAGCACCATTCCACTCCTTAAAGGTTCTATTTTCTATACATAAACCATCTATGCTAGTCCAACTCATGCAAACCTAATTAATGGTATATCATCATTAAGTTCTCTGAAAACAGGAGTTAGAACATATAGGGAGCCTCTCTCTCATATAGGGATCCTCCCTAAGGCAGGTAGCCTGCTCAAGAGTTACACTCTGGGAGTCAGAGGGACAGTGCAGCGCGTAGGGTGTTTTTTGCTTAGCACAGGGCAGCACTCTACATGGTCCCCTGAGCCTGACAAAAGCCATTCCTTGGGCCAGAGCCAGGAGTAACCCTGAGCACCACCAAGAGTTACACTCCTGGGGGAGGGGGATCACTTAATATATTCACTACGTTGCCTTCTACTGTGTGAGAGCCCCTCTTGGGCAAGACATAAGTCTTAATGCATTTTGTATTCCCAGAGTACAGCGCCAGTAGTTTTAAACCAAGACTTACATTAGAATCACATGGTGAGGTCATCAAAATATTAATGTCTGGGATCCATCCCAAAACCATTGAATCATAAAGACTGTCAGGGAGGGTGAGGGCATTAATCAACATGGGAGCACTTTTTAAAGACCCTCACATGATATTAATAACATGGTACCACAGGTGAAAACCACAGCACTCTAATATTGAAAATGTTGTACAAACAAACACTGTCCTCGATTTGCTCGAGCGGGCCCAGTAACGTCTCACTTTGAGACTTGTTGTTACTGTGGCATACTGAATATATGTCACGGTAGCTTGCTAAGCTTTGCCATGGGGGCAAGATACTAAGATACTCTCGGTATCTTGCTGGGCTCTCGGAGAGGGGCAGAGGAATGGAACCCAGCTCCACCGGGCTGGCTGCACGCAAGACAAATGCCCTACCGCTGTGCTATAGCTCCAGCCCGTTGGACAAACAAGTATGAATAAATACATAGGTACAAAAATGTCTCGACTCAAGACCCTTGCCCTCAACAGTTGTTCTCAATCCAACCATATTTCCTTTAAACACACAATATTTCTAACATTTGGTTCATTGTTTATGGCAAGATCGTTTTTAAACTGTTAACTTTGTACCTAGATTCTTCATGTAATTATGCCTTATCCTGAGCCCCAGATAAGTCGTGCTCCTTGAGACCATATATCACCTTTACCTTGTTTACTCAACAGTGCTTACCATGGCACATTTAACAGAAACCTGTAATCACCTGACTTCCAGTAACATATACAAGAAATATTGGCAGGATGTCATATCTAAAGTATCCAATTTGAGCGTCAAACCCCAAAATAGAAAAAGTAAACATTTAGAGAAAAGCTTTACAACAAAATAGTGAGAGCAACTAAACTTAACCTACGGCTCTCTGTATACTTGTACCTTTCATTAGCGTTCTGACGTGCCCACCCACCACTTTCAGTTTTGACCTTGCTCACTTCTAAAGCTCTTGCCCAGCTGCCTTTAGATTTGGCAGATACCTCTGTAACATTTTTGTTTGTTTTAGGGAGTTCTTTGTGTTGGTGTGAGGACTGAACCCAGGACCTCACAGGCAGAGTATGCACTCTACCATTCAGTCAAATCCTCTGCGCCTGTAACAATTTTTAATTCTTCAGTAAAGTAAGTTGATGATGGTCTAATGAACCCATCACAGCTTAATTTTGTTTTGTTTTGTTAGGGGACCACATCTGGTGATTCTCAGGAATTACATCTGAAGATACTAACGTACCTGGGATCAGACTATCAAACCCCCAGGTCGCTGCTTACAAGTGCCTTGCCAATCATTGCACTATCTCATGGCCCCTTTTTTTAAAAAAAGAAACTTGATGTTTATCACACACTACAGTGGGGCACTTTGCACACAAGTTACAGGGAAATCTACCAATAAATACTATATGAAAACAAGAGAGGCATACTCAAACATAAATCAAACAAACCTACCTTTGAGGACTGACAAATTGGTGATCTTCTGCTTTTACAATACTTTCATACCTGAAAGTTCTGTGATGTATTATGACTTTAAAAAAAATAGGAGTGCTAAATAATATTACACAAGAAACCCCACATTAAGAAAGAAACTGGCATTTTTAATGTTGAAACTACTAAGAAAAAAAGGAATGGTACACAACTCTTAAAAAGCAACAAGGTACAAACAGGAAAATGGTTCTCCTCTAAAATTTTATGTATTTTATTACTATAAAAACTATAAAATTAACTGAAAGACACTGTTTAAAAATAAACAACCACAAAATTAAAAAAATAACAAAAAATGTGAGGGATTGGTATTCCTAAAGTATGCCTAACTAATTAGATACTGTGGTAAAACATTTCCATGTTTTGTTGGGTCCTACCACATGCAAGAGCCATAGTTACCACTAAGAAAAAGCAGTCTTCAATTCCCTATTCAATAAAAAAAGTTCAAATTCCACAGCCAAAAAATGGTACCCTGGGTTGTTTGTTTTTAAGGAAGATTAAATTTAGGAGTTGCCAACACCCAAACGAAAAACATTCCAGAGTATTAGACTCAATTGTAGTGGGGAGTCATCTACATTCTCAGCACTATGTTTCCTTACACAAAGCAAGAGATTTAACAAAGGATGTTTCTTAGGATCTCACAAGATACACCAGACTTACTTGCCCCAGTAAACATTACACTTGTTTTGAAAAATAAGAAAAGGTACTTGAAAACTAACAATTTCAGCACAAGAAGTCAGTTTAAATCTTGCCAAACTATTTCCCAAAATAAGACCCTGTCAGATGAAGTGAGTAAAAGATTAAAAATGACAAATTATTTTATTTGAACCATTAACTACTTTTAAAAATAAAGCTGAGGAATGTGGTTTTCCCAAGGTTTTGTATTCAGTTTCCCCTTAATCTTCATATTTTAACTTTTTTTAAAAAAATGCCCTAGAAATCTGATTACCCCTCTTATGAATTCCTTTTAAAGTAATTTAATGAGTAACAGATCTTTTGTGCAAGTAGCAAACCGCAGAGGACAGTTTTGCTGTCTTGATAAAAATCTCTCTGAAACACTCCTATAAAAATACACCCTTCCAAGATAGGCCCTAGTTTTCCAGGTATGGAAATCACATTGACCTGAAAATCTGGGGAAACTGATACACGTGCTAACTCTGCAAATGCTTTTTACTTAAGCCACAGTGAAAGTTAATAAATTCTTAATGATATATTGGGTACAAAATGTTAAGAAAATTAGAAGCTTAGACGCTTTAAGGGGGGGTGGGGGGGAGAGTAAAACCTAAAAGTTCCAAAGAGAAAGAGACATCAATTACTTTTGGGTTTAAAGGCCGCTCAATCGCTCCCCCAAACCACTGAACTATTACTGAAGTAACTTATTCAGGACTGTTTTTGCGGAAAGTAAAGAGAGGTGGGGTCACGTCCACGCGTTGAAAATGTTTCACCAGCCACTCGGATAGGAAGATGCTGCAGCCCTCAAAAACGCCTTCTGACTGCTCCAAAATAACCTCCACGCCAGAGTCCAAGAAACCCAACCCTACCACATAAATGTTTTCCAGAATCCACAAATACTTGATTACGACGAGAAACCATCTTAGAAAAAAAAAGAAAAAAAAAAAGAATTGTGGGATGCTAGTGCATTCCAACAGTCCCTCTTAAAAAAAAAAAAAGCGCACGCGTGCCTGTACATGTGCTTGTGCGTTTTGTTAGCCTGGGTGTGCGGTGATTGCATGTGCACGCACGTGTGTTTGGGGTTCAAAGGACCGTCTAGAGCTCCTTTGCAGGCGCTCCCTGGGGTTCAGTGAACGAGGGAGCTGGAGCCGCATTTTCTGTACAGGTGCTGATCCACCACTGGGAAAGGAGATAAAGCGTTGGGGAGCCAGTGCAGGGGCGAAGGGAAGACTAGAGAATGGAGTCGTCGGCTGCGATCAAATCCTCCCGCACAGCAACGGGGCCGGTTCACGGATGGAGGGAGGAGTCCTGCAGGCGCAAGCTGCTTCTCCACCCACGCACCCACCCACCCACCCACCTAACCGTGCAAACTCGGGTCCCAAGGCTGAGCGCGCCCTTGGCCTGGAAGCCTGATTAGCACGTGTCTCATTTGGGGCAGGGGGCAGTGACCGTGCACACATCCCGGGAAGCTCGTCCTCCTCGGCGCCCCGTCTGCTCGCGCCTCGTGGGGACGGGGTTGGGGTGGGGACGGGAGAAGAGCCCGTCGGGGGGTGGGGGGTGGGGGGGGGAAGCGGGGAGAGGGACGCCCCGGACCCAGCGCGCTCACCTCGGCCGCGGGAATGTTGACCACGCCGGTGGAGCGGCGCTTCTCCCGCAGCTTCCTCTTCTCGATCTGCCCCTTGCCCTTCCTGGCGCTGGGGCCCGAGCTCTTGCCCTTCTCGGGGCCGCCGTCCCGCTCCTCGTCGTCGCCCGGGACGGGGGATGCCCGGGACACCCCGGCTGCGGCGGCGGCGGCGGTGGCTGCGGGCTCGTCGTCCGGCCGCCGGGCGCTGGCTGCAGCGCGGGCCGGGGGCGGCGCGGGGCCCCCGGTGCAGTTCACGCCCCCGGGGGCGGCAGGTGCGGCGGCGCCGGGGAGGTTGTTGTTAAGCTCGAGGGGGGCGGCGGCGGCTGCGGCGGCGGCGACCCCGACCCCCGGGCCGGTCCCCGCGTCGCCGCTGCCGCCCGCCGTTCCCGGGGGGTTCTGCTTGGCGCGCATCTTCTCGCGCTTGGCCTTCCACTCCTCCAGGAAGTCGGTGGTGCTGCCGCCCGCCGCCCGGTAGCCACCGGTCGCCATATTCCCAGCGGGGCCGGCCGGGCTCTCACCTCGGGTCGCCCCCCGTCCAGCAGCACGTCCACCCGGACGGGCGCCGAGGGCACGATCCCCGGCCCCGCTCCTTGGCCCGAGGCGCGGGGGTGCCCGCAGCTCCAGCAACCGGCCGGCGGCCCTGCTGTGGGGGGGGGGGGGGGAGGGGGGAGGAAACACAAAAGGGGGCGGGGAAGGGGAGAGTCAGGTCGGAGGGGGACCCCGCGGCCGCGCCCCCCGCGCGCCCGCACGCGTCCCCCCACCCCAGCCCAACTCCGCAAACTCTCCCCCGCGCACCTCCCCGACCGGTGTGGCTGCCTCCCCTCCAGGGGGTGCCCCGAGCGACGGTCCCCACCCCCGGCCCGCTCGCCCCGCGCCCACCCGAGGCCGGGGTCGGACCCCGCCACCTGTCGCCGTCGCCTCGCTTCTCCTTCCCCCACCGCCACACCCCCCCCCACCCAAGGGCGCCCGGGATTCTCCCCCCGCACACACACACACACACACACACACACACCCGGGACACCCTCCCCCCCCCCCCCCACCCCCGAGCCCCGGGAGCTGGCGGCGGGGCCGGAGCGCCGACTCTGCGGGGACACAAGCAGCTGCCCGCCGGCCCCGGGAAGGGACCGGAGTGCGCGCGTGTGAAGTTGCGGGCGCGCCGGGCGCGGCCTCCCCCCCTTACCTGGGAGGAATCGGGGGGAAAGGTGGAAACTAGGAGTTGGGGGTGCCCAGGCGAGCCCGAAGCGGCCGGCCGGCGCGGCCAACAACAGCTCCGGGTCCGGAGCCCGCGGCTCTCGGGGCCGGGAGGGAGGGACGGAGGGAGGGAAGGAGGGAGGGAGGGAGAGAGCGCGCGCGGGGCGGGAGGGGAGCCGAGCGGCGCCGAAGCGCGGGCGGAAAGGGCCGAGACGGCGCGCGAGGGGTGCGGCGCGCGGCGGGGGGCGGGGGGGGGGGGGTCCGCGCCCGCCGACGCCCCGCCCCCGGCGCTCAGGTGCGCGGCGCCGCGTCCAGCTCGCCCAGCGCCCGCGGCTCGGGCTGCGCATTCCTGGGCTCGCGCGAGCGTCCGAGGCCCGGCCCGGAGCCGCCCGCCCGGGACGCGCGGCGCCCCGCTCCGCCTCTCCCCGCGCCCCTCTCACGGCGCCCCTCTCCCCTCACTCTTCCTTTTAAGTCCAAGCCCGGAGCCGTCCAAGAAAAGACTCCAGCTCGGCGACGGAAGGGCAGGGGGCCATGCAACTGGCGATGATTCCGGAGGCGGGGGGCGGCGGGGGGGGGGGGTGGGTACTGGCCTTTGAACGTGTCGCTACCCACACCCCGTTTGCCCCTGTTACCTAGGAACTGAAACTAACCCTGCGCCCTCCTTCGAGGAAAAGTCGGTGATCTGGTGGGGAAAAAAAGTCGGCTGAACCAAACTTTCAAAGATTTAGTTTAGGCGTGCAAGAGAAAAAAAAAAAAAAAACTTGTTTCCGTATGGCTTTGGCGCTTCCCAGCCTATCTGGAGTTTTCCTTTCTTGATCCTGCCTCGACACCTCGCTCAGTCGCTTGTGGATTTCGCTGCAGAGCTCCCTTTCAAAATCTAAAGCTGGGTTGATGCTGACTTGATAGGAGCTGGGGCGTGGATCCTCTCTGTTTTTTCCAGCCTTCACGTGCCATCTTATCCTCGGATGTTAGTCTGCTAGTCGCCTAAGTGCCTCTTTCGGGGTTAGGTGGACTGTGAGATTCCAGGACTGTGATATCCGAATAATGCCAGGGCACGGGGTTCTAGGGGCGATGTGGATTGGGTCACCACTTAGGACAATGTAGGGGAGCATGAGTCAGTCACACTCTTACCTAATACAAATATCGTGCTTCCTACTTAGTGTTCCTGTTTTACACAGGTGGAAGATGGTGAGTGGACATAAGTGCCTGCAGAGGCCATGAGAATCGGATGACTGGATCACATATTTCTGAGGAAAAAAAAAGTCCCACGGTTCTCATCTTTGGTCTAATTGTTGGAGTAAGCAGGAGAGAACTGGAAAATCATCGTTAGGAAATTAAGGTCTTTCCTATGGGTCCATGTAAAAGGCTGAACCTTGCAGGTACTAACCTGAATGTGCCACCAGGACTTCAAGTACTGATCACTTTCTTTTTTATTTTTAAGGAGAGAGAAGGGTTTGGGCATTCAACAGAATCACATCAGTATGCTGTGTGAGTTATGAGAGGATTTTCTCTTTAAGGGGTTGTGAAATAGAGGAGATAAAAATGTTATTGCCTGTATCTTTACACACATATGTTGAGCTGAGTTGTTGGGCATGTTGCTTAAGTGCTTACAGTGCAGAAGTTAAGGGATTTACCTTCATGTGGCCAACCTTAATTCCATCCCGGACAGTGCATATTACCACCCCCACCAACACCCATCCCCAGCACCACCAGGAGTCATCCCTGAGCACAGAGCCGGAAGTAAGTTCTGGGCTCTGCTAGATGTGACCACCACCACCCCCACAAAAAGAAATAATAATTGAAACTGAACTTTCTTTACTATAAAATCAGCAAATCACAGTAAGCTGTCATAAGAACTGATACTCGTGAAAGTGGTTCAAGGATACTATATAGCATATATAGTCCTTTTGTTACAAAGACAGTGAGGGGGAGTCCTGCTTTCCCGAAGTGGGGAAGAATGGAAAGACAGGGGAAAAGTTAAGGAATATTAATTTGAAAACTATAAGCTTTAAAGGAACACAGACAATACTTAAGTCATCTACCTTTATCACTGCATCTGAGACCAGTTCTCTTAGTATTAATAGGTGCTGAGTCAGGAATGTTGGCCACTACTGACTGGTGTGGCTTTGGGCAAGTTGCTTAACTTTCCTACCTCTGTTTACTTGCTTATAAAATGGGGATAATAATACTTCCTACATTGTGAGAGTGTTGGGAAAGTGCCTGAGATCCGTAGATAAAAGGTAGAATGGAAGAACCAGAGTGCTTATTATTCACCTATAAAGTGCCTTAGGAACCGTGGATGAAAGAGATTATTGAGGCACAAAGCACGGTGCATTATTATTGTTATCATTTATTATACCCTTTGTCCTTACCTTACAATTCTCAATATTCCCAACGATAGATTTCACAGAGTGCTTCCAACTTCGCATGAAGACATATAGCTGAGTCAGTCCTAAATTGCAAAATGTTTACATAGCATTGATCTTTTTTTGTATAGCATTCTGATGAAATAAGCCTCTGAGATTTGGAGCGTGGTTTCTCAACCTCAGCAACCACCCACAGTAGTGACTTTGCCACAGGTCCCTGGGAGCCATTATCTTCACCAGTTAAGAACCTCTGAATTTGCCTAAAATAACAGATTTTGATGATCCATTTTTACTTTCATAAGAGGGACAATTAAGATGCTGAAGACACAAACATTTATTGGGGGGATCTGAAAGATAGTACTGAGATTAAGGTGATTGCCTTGTGGGCAGTTAACCCCAGTTCAATACTGGTACCTGCATACAGTCCCTTGAATACTTCTAGCATGAATAGACCCTGAGCACCACTAGACTAGCCCCTAGGTCACACAACTCCCCCCCCCAAAAAAATAAGTTTATTTTAATCTGTCAGAATGATTATAAATGTTAATATTTTCCTGGCAGAATTGAAAAAATTCAAAAACGATAATAAAGTAGAGTACTTGCCTTGCCTGGAGCTGACCTGTGTTGAATCCCTGGCACCATGTATGGTTCCCACGTCAGGAGTGATCCCTGAGCAAAGAGCCAGGAATAAGCCCTGAGCGTAGATGGGTGTGGCTCCAAAACCATAAAAAATTGAATATTGGGAAATAAACATTTTCCTTCAGTGCAGGTATTGGTGTACTTCGATCTCTAACATAAAAATATGCACATATGGTTTTAAGCACTTTATGTATACGTGAATTAAAACAAGATAGTAATCCCCTACTACCTTTTCTACTTCCCAAACCCTAACCAGAACTTAGAACTCTTTTAATTAAAGCCCATAATAGGTAATATAGGTCTTTAATTTTTTAATAGAAAGGTTTATTGGAATGTAGAAAGGAAGAAAAAAGAGAAAGGAAGAAAACTCCCCAAATGAAAAAAAAACTTAGTACAGGACTTAGTTTGGGCTTTAAATTTTTTAAATGTCGTATATGTCCTTAACTATTATTCTACCTCTTGATTTCATTTTTTGACATCTTTTACTGAATGCCTAATATTAAAAAAAATAGTTCTCACTTCACCTCTTTTCCTTACTCCTAAATTCTAGGCACAATGTTTAAATATGTATATACAATATATTTGTATCGTCATTTTTATTGACTGAATATAGAATGTACATAGTGTTATGATTATGCAAATATTCTTCAGAGCTGAACCTTGCAATGAGCAATGGTTGCATTTCTTTTCTTTTTCTTTCTCTTAAAGACATGAACAGTCAAGTTTTTTGGCTCACTGCTGTAAACTTACTAAGTGCACACTTTTTTTTTTTTGCTTTTTGGGTCACACCCAGCAATGCACAGGGGTTACTCCTGGCTCATGCACTCAGAAATCACTTCTGGCGGTGCTCAGGGGACCATCCGGGATGCTGGGAATTGAACTTGGGTCGGCCGCGTGCAAGGCAAATGCCCTACCCGCTGTGCTATTGCCCCAGCCCCCTAAGTGTATTCTTAACATTCTTTTTGATCCATTCCATAACTCCATGCATTACTTTTTCTTTTGGTAGTAGATCTTGGATTTTTTTTCTTCCTCTTCTCTAGTGTGGCTATAACTGCCTGGTACTTCTCGCCAACCTCACGAACTAAGTAGCCCAGAGAGGCAAACTTTCCTGTACGCTTCAGTCCCACAACCTACAGGCAACAGAAAAACCACCAGCTGCTGTTTCTTGTCAGAGGCGAAGAGATCCCATCATGTACCTGGAGGAGGTCCTGGCCTCACTTGGTCTCACAGAGCAGCCTGCCTCCCACTGCTGCCAAAAGATGTCCCACTGCTGCCAAAAGATGTCCCTCAAGGCTTGGAACTGGAAGGGGCACAGGCTGGGTTGGTGTTCATTCACTTATGAAGGTACTTCAACCGGTAGAAACTCTACT